CCCCCGAATATAAGCTCACCCGAATATAAGCCTACTTGTTTATCACTATTGTTTATCACTATTGCAACTATTAATCACTACTATTATTATGCTTAACACTTGTTTATCTCTATTACTATACTTGTTTATTACTATTGCACCAACACAAAGATAAGCCACCCCTCCTTGTATAAGCCCAGCAAAAATCGCTTACGAAAGAGTCGAAGGTTTACGGTATGTTTACGGTAACCTATAGTCGAAGGTTTACGGTATGTGTCAAAACTCTGATATTTCCCCTCTGTTATTTCCTGTAGGACGGTACGTGTGTCCAGCTGACCCTCTAGGATGTCGTAATGATGGTGATTGTATTGGTGGGCGAATTTGCTGTGATACCGGCTGTACTAAACGATGCGTCGCACCCAGAGCGTAGTTATACCACAGTGACTATTTCGTTGTTTTCTCTAGTTTATTAATAGGAGCTGATATTCTCACTATACCCTACGTTAAGTACGCATGATATGTAGTATTAAACGAGATATATATAGTTTGTGAACTAAGTACGATGCCAAGTTCTGAATTTCAGAAAATAAAATCTTAAATTCACCCAAAAATTCATTCACTTTGATATTTCAAGAATTAACATCAGGTGAGTGCCCGGATTTTCTGATGTAACATTTGACATTCTTTTGACGTAAGTCGGAAGGAAATTAAACTTGACGTATTAACAGCGGGGGGAAATGCACATACCGGTAGGCAAGAGACATTTGCTTCTGATTTTCCAAACAGCGTAGCTTTCGTCCAGGTACTCCAGTAACACTGCACCAATTGATAGAGCTATCCAGTATAAATAAAGTTAGTTTCGTTTAGGTTTTCTCCTGTAGATGTGTAGTGACAATCGATCAACAAGAGATGACTCTTATCTCCAGGGAGAACAGTTTAGAACTGACAAAATTAGTTTAGTTTGGGTTTCCTCCTGTTGTAACATTGGATCAACAAGAGATGACTCTCACTGGATCTCTAGGAAGAACAGTGTAGAACTGATAGAGCTATCCAGTATAACTAAAGTTTCTTTAGATTGGTTTATGTGGGTGTCAATTTGATTTGTATTTGAAGAGCAGGATAAGGTCATTGGAATTTATCAATTTGGCTTGGGTTGATCTAGAAATCAGTTTCGATATTGTCTGTAAGTTTCATGCAAATTTTATATTTTTCCATAAAGAAAATATTTAGATTCTTTCAGGAAATGCACAAAGAAACTTCACCTGCAATGCGGAATGGACTGGTTATCTTAAACACCATGACATTTTAAGGTACTTTACCAATATTAGCTAATACATTTATAGAAATGATTTAACCAAGGCAGAAATCGTAGTTTATGAATATATCACGTATATTGTACACTGAGTATGGAATAGTACTAATATTCATATTATGTACATTTCTGACAGGAAAGCTAAGATCAGTATATTGTAACCATAGCGCATCAATCTGAATGAAACGCACCATTTAGTTTCGAGATTTTCAAGCTATTTCTGAAGGCGTATACAAAAGCATGTATCCGATATTTGCATTTCTTTTTGTTAAAGGTGAACAGCTTACATCCTGTTATTGGCAAGAAACAAAGAAGAGGAACTAACCAATATAGAAAGGGGGGAACTAACTAGAGAAAAAGCATTCCCTCTTTACTGGCGAAATGGCTAACATCAAAGAAGTGTGTGTGTTGCTTGTTTTGGGATTTGTAGTGATAACTACAGCCGATCCTTTTATTGGAAGTAAGGAATTTTTGAATATAATAATTGGTTTATTTAATGGTTAAGATATACGAAGTGGCTATCACACTGAAGGTTAGGAATTCTAATATACGAAACGAATATAGGTTGAGGCCTTCTGTGATTCTCGGTACGGACTTGTAAAATTTATGTGAAAAGAGTTGGTCATTGTTCTACCAAAAGTCGTGAGTTTTCTCTGGTTTCCCTCCCACAGGGAATGTTGACAGGGTGGGCTGGGATTAGCCCCTAACTGACCGTTCCACCGTAGCTGTGCTCCGTGATCAGATCATAAAGTGGTTGTCGAAGGCACCCTTAGAAAGCCTTCGACTCGATCAGGTTGAGTTGCGCCCTTCGCAATTCAGCTTAGGCTAGTAAGGCTTAGCGCTCAGATGCAGTTTTGTCAGGGTGGGTTGGAATAAAATCCCAAACTAACTTGTCATCTTAGCTGTGCTTCGTGACGAGGCGCCCTTTACTAGGTGATAAGCATTTCATTGCTTTTATTGCACATCATTCCTTCATTGGAAAACACTCGAATATTTCTATTTACTTTAGGGACCGGTCATAAAGTAATTACTAGAGGGGGGTGAAGGATAAATGAAATTTCAAGTACATATTTCCATACCCTCCCAAAAACCTATGGAAACATTTTCGTAACCCCCCTTCAATGTAAGTGAACATTTTCATACCCCCCACCCCCTTCAATCATTAACAGGTTCTAATGGTGTTAGCTTGCTAGCATTGTCATTGACAATTCAGATGTATCAGATTTGTATTCCAAAAGTTCCATGGATACAGAATCCTACTTATCATCTGACATTGAGTCAGACTGAAACATATATACTTTGTGTTGGCTTAATAATAATTATAGTATAGTTTAATAAATAAACTTAAATCTGGGTACAAACACATTCAATATTCAACAATAATTATAAAATGTAATTTTTTTCCGTACCTATAGTATTAAGATTTTGGTACCCCCCTAGAGGTTCTGTTTTTTTTTTCGTGCCCCCCCTCAGAGGTTCTGGATTTTTTTCGTACCCCCCAAAAATATCCTCCACACCCCCTAGTAAATACTTTATGACCGGTCCCTTAATTCAATTAATAAAAATTTACCACAATGCACAAATTGTCCTAACTTCGATTTGTGTTAATGTCAATCTTATGGTCTCTAATGCTTAGTGAAACCTACCTATACATCTTAAATGAAGACTCCTACTATAACAAATAATAACTCATGTAAACGTTTCTCCTCAGGGCTAGGATTCCATCATTTCCACGTGTTGCGATGTCTTTTCAAACGCTGTCATCGTTACGCGAAATGTCAAGTCCAGAACGGCAAAGCTGTATGTGTTTGTCCCAAGGTGTGTCCCAAGAATTTCTCGCCCGTCTGTGGAACTGACTGGAAGACGTACAGCAATTACTGCGAACTGGCAAGAGCTTCTTGCGTTGGAAACAGTCGAACAAGACTTCTCTATTACGGTTCTTGTAAGTAACGTGTTTGATACTGGAAATCACTAACGCCCAACTGACTCTAGTGGTCCAGTGTTACTACAGGAGGAAACACTAACTTTATTTTTGATGGATAGCGCTATCAGTTCTAAACTCTTCTTCCTAGAAGTCCAGCAAGGATCATCTCTTATTGATCCAGTGTTACTACAGGAGGAAACCTAAACTAAACTAACTTTATTTATACTGGATAGTTCTATCAGTTCTAAACTGTTCTCCCTAAAGGTCCAGTAGGGATCATCTCTTATTGATCCAGTGTTACTACAGGAGGAAATCTAAACTAAACTAACTTTATTTATACTGGATAGCTCTATCAGTTCTACACGTTCTTCCTATAGGTCCAGAAAGGTCAACCCTTACTGATCCACTGTTGTACTCCAGGAACATAAACTTAACCAACTTGTTACTGGATAGCTCAATAACTACCCTTGATATAGTTAAGTGAATTTCATTTTTTCTTGTAGGCAAATCAGGCAGTTGCAGGCGCACGCCTTGGCAAAGCCTACGATGTCCTTACTACAGCATATGCCGGTTATACTTTGGCCTACCTCGTTGTGTTTGCCCTGAAACTTGTCCATCCAGTTATAATCCGGTTTGCGGCTTCGATGATAGAACCTACCGGAACAGATGTGAATTGAGGAAGACTGCTTGTAAACGAAGACAGAGGCTGTATGTCCAACATTTGGGACATTGCCGTAAGTAGACACTCGATTGGTCAATTGTGACGATAGGTGGGTTCCCCTGAGCACTATCGTGCCGATCAGGCCTCCTCACTGGTCTCAAAGCTAGAACTTGATAGAGCAACCTTTTGCATAGATTTTGCAGTTTTCACATTTTTCCATCTACCAAACTGACGTTGCATCATTTGATCAATTTCTAAAGTTGTTTCTTTTTAGATTTTTTTATTAATTTGGTTAGAGTTAGGGTTGGTTAGAATTAGTTATGGTTAGAGTTAGAGTTGGTTAGGGTTAGGGTTAAGGTTAGGGTTAGGGTTAGGGTTAGAGTTGGTTAGGGTTAGGTTTAGTTGTTAGGGTTAGAGTTGGTTAGGGTTAGGTTTAGTTGGTTAGGGTTAGAGTTGGGGGTTAGAGTAGGATTAGGGTTTGTTACATAGCCATTTAACACCTCTTTCATCTTCCGAAAATGACGTCAGGTCAGTTTGGTAGATGGAAACAAGTGCTGACCAGATTTTGCTAGCATCCCCCACTTGAATGAAAAATAGTTGAAGGGTTTTATAGATGGAAATTATCGAATTAAATGTTTTATATACATTTATTAGACCTGACCAGGAACAGCTGCGAAAAATACAACTATACGTGGACTTGTGGTTAGAGTTCGACAACTGGCCTCTGTAGCTCAGTTGGTTCGAGCACTGCACCGGAATCGCAGGGTCGCAGGTTCGATTCCTGTCAGAGGACCTTGTGCTGCATTTTTCGCAACTGCTCCTGGCCTAATAAATGTATAAAAGATTTCCACTCGATAATTTCCACCTACAATAACCTTCAACCCTTTGAATTCCGGGTGTTATTTTTGCAGCTAGAATATTTATAATGAGGGGAGATTTTTTTAAAAATCTGTCCCATTCCTTACGTGTTCAAATGAGGTATAATTTCCCCACTTGTCCGGGTCTGGGTGGGCCGTTGAGGAACGTAGAATCTTCATCATTATTCTCTAACCACAATGATCATGTTTTCTTCGCCACAGGTCCAGATCCTTGCGCTCGTATTGACTGCTGTTGTAATGCGGAGTGCAGAGTGAACCTGACGAATCATGCGAAATGTGAATGTAACTTCGCCTGCACTTTGCAGTATGATCCAGTTTGCGGCTCGGATGGCAAGACATACGGCAACGCATGTGGCTTACGTAGTGTTGCTTGTGCACAGCAGAATCCGAAACTTAAGGTTGTTAGCGATGGACCATGTAAGTAATATAAACTAACTTTATTTATGCAGGATAGTTCTATCAGTTCTAAACTGTTCTTCCTAGAGGTCCAGTAAGGATCATCTCTTGTTGATCCAGTGTTACTACAGGAGGAAACCTATAAACTAGACTAACTTTATTTATACTGGATAGCAATATCACTTTTAAACTTTCTTCGTAGAGGTCCAGCAATTAAGGGTCATCTCTTATTCTTCCAGTGTTACTACAGGTGGGAAACTTAAGCTAGACTAACTTTATTTATACTGGATAGTTCTATCAGTTTTAAACTCTTCTTCCTAGAAGTCCACTAAGAAGTATCTCTTATTGTTCCAATGTTACTGCAGACAGAAACCTAAATTATAACTTATTTATACTGGGCGCTCTATCGATTCTAAACTGTTCTCCTTAGAATCCAGAAACAACTGTCCTTTATTAGTCGAGTGTTATACTGCCGAACGAAACCGGAGATCCTGTGTAAATAAAGTTACGTTCCCTTACTTCGAAACAATCTTATTTATACCATATACTGTATACATATTGCAAAGTATAATGTCTCGTTATTTTTAGGTCCAACAACTCTCCCAGAAACAACGCCTTCAACGTCAGTTCCTACAACTCTCCATCCTTGTGCTTCGATAAAATGTCGCTTCTATGCAAAATGTGAAATCGTAAATGGCTCAGCTGGTTGTATGTGTCCATTTTGTGGAACCAATTCTGATATTGTGCAGCCAGTCTGTGGATCAAATGGAGTGACTTATGCAAATCTTTGTGACTTACAACGGAGCAGTTGTCAAAATGCGCAGCTCATTGAAGTTGTCAGCAGAGGACGATGTATGTTAAGCATTAATGGGTTTTTCTTTGTAGAAGGATATTCTAGATGGAAATTTGTGATTTTTTATACATTTTTTAGATCTAACCAGGAGCACATGCGAAAAAAAGCAACTTTTAGGCATGAATGAATGTCGCTTGACGCATTTTTGAGGAACATATTCAAAACGCATATTGTGGAACGCAGCATAACTTATGCCCTGATGCTCGGTTTGAAATATCATTTTATGGAGAGACAGTAACGTTTATTCTGTGTTTATCTTTTGTGTTTTAGGCCTGACAACAACTGAACCTCCCCTGACGAGAGTTCCTACAACCCCTGCCATTTGCCCGTTCACATGTAGTTTCTATTCAAGATGTGAAGTCAGAAATGGCTCGGCTAGATGCGTATGTCCATCTTTATGTTCTGGTGTTGTGACACCCGTCTGTGGCTCAAATGGAGTGACTTATGGAAATCTGTGTGAATTGAAAAGGGCTAGTTGTAAAAATCATGAGTATCTTCAAGTTGTCAACAACGGACAATGTATGTTCAACCATTATTGCGTTGAAACATTTGAAATATCATTTTATCGAGAGACAGTAACGTTTATTCTGTGTTTATCTTTTGTGTTTTAGGCCTGACAACAACTGAAGCTCCCGTGTTCCCAAGCTCCCAAGTTCCCACAACTGCTGCCATTTGCCCGTTCACATGTAGTTTCTATTCAAGATGTGAAGTCAGAAATGGCTCGGCTAGATGCGTGTGTCCATCTTTATGTTCTGGTGTTGTGACACCCGTCTGTGGCTCAAATGGAGTGACTTATGGAAATCTGTGTGAATTGAAAAGGGATAGTTGTAAAAATCATGAGTATCTTCAAGTTGTCAACAACGGACAATGTATGTTAAACCATTATTGCGTTTTTCTTTATGAATAATGAATTAATGAACACGTTTTTTATTGGGTAGTATCGATACAGAATGGTTATCACATTGGAGAATATACTAGGAGAAAACAATAAAAATTGAAAAATATTCTGTAGGAAATAAGAATAAGAATAAGAAGCCGATTTTGAATAACATAATTTATATATTTTGCAATTTCACTGAAAAGCCATAATTCACATTATTTGAGGAATGTTACAAAAAGATTCAGTTGTCACACATGTCCTTTACCACTTCTGTGACATGAGTTTGATAACTGATTGTACAATTTTCTGCAGTCTAAAGTTTCATGTTGTCTGCACATGTACGTTCTTGGAGACACCATTCGTCTGCTGACACATTTATACTGGATAGCTCTATCAACCAAACTATTCTCCCTAGAAGTCCAGTGAGGGTCATCTCTTATTGATCCAGTGTTACTATAGGAGGAAACCTGAACTAAACTGACTTGTACTGGATGCTTTGTCAATTCTAAACTGTTACGCATATTGTAGAACGCAGCATAATTTATGCCCTGACGCTCGGTTTGAAATATAATTTTATCGAGAGACGGTAACGTTTATTCTGTGTTTATCTTTTGTGTTTTAGGCCTGACAACAACTGAAGCTCCCGTGTCCCCAAGCTCCCAAGTTTCCACAACCCCTGCCATCTGCCCGTTCACATGTAGTTTCTATTCAAGATGTGAAGTCAGAAATGGCTCGGCTAGATGCGTGTGTCCATCTTTATGTTCTGGTGTTGTGGCACCCGTCTGTGGCTCAAATGGAGTGACTTATGGAAATCTGTGTGAATTGAAAAGGGATAGTTGTAAAAATCATGAGTATCTTCAAGTTGTCAACAACGGACAATGTATGTTAAACCATTATTGCGTTTTTCTTTATGAATAATGAATTAATGAACACTTTTTTTATTGGGTAGTATCGGTACAAAATGGCTATCCCATTGGAGAATATACTGAGGGGGAAACAATAAAAATTGAAAAATATTCTGTGGGAAATAAGAATAGGAATCTGATTTTGAATGACATAATTTATATTTTTTACAATTTGAAAAAGCCATATTCAGTCGTCACACATATCCTTTACCACTTCTGTGACATGAGTTTGAGAACTGATTGTACAATTTTCTGCAGTCTAAAGTTTCATGTTGTCTGCACATGTACTTTCTTAGAGACACCATTTGCCTCCTGACAAATCGGAAAATGATCAAGACAGTAACTCTGATTGATCAAATAATGTATTGACATACGGTTGTTAACATTGCTTTTTAGTCTTCAATATTTGAGTGAGTCATGCTTTGGAAATGACAATAAATTTTTATTACCCAACCCTTGAGCTGTTTTGTCTTTTATCCAACCTTTTACTCACTCAAAATTTTGTTTATCCCACCCTTTTCTCTTCGGTGCCACGCCATAAATAATGACCCGCCCTATATTTCGTGCGAACTTATAAATTTGAATTACTAATTATTAATCGTGGGTTTTAGGTCTTAAATCAACTTCGAGTCCAGTAACAAGAAACGCATCCACAACCCTTTCTCCTTGTGCTTCAATCAAATGTGGTTTCTTCGCAAAATGCGAGGTGAGAAATGGATTGGCTGATTGCGTGTGCCCTGAGAGAAGATGTCTCTCTGTTACTGACCCATTCTGTGGATCGGACGGTGTGACGTACGGGAACACTTGTGAGTTGGAGAAAGCAATCTGTGAACAACAAAAACAAATCACAATTGCGAAGAGAGGCAGTTGTGTTAAGATGGGTAAGAAGGTGTATTCTTTTTGTAATTATTATGGAACGTCTGTGGCGCAGTCGTTAGAACAAGTGTCTTTCACCTCTGAGTTCGTGTGTTCGACTTTCGCTACGGATTCATGTGAAAAGAGTCTGTCAACGCTCTGCCGAAAGTCGTGGTTTTTCTCCGGCCGCTCCGGTTTCCTACCACAAGGAAAGTTGACAGGGTGGGTTAGGATAAACACAATTAAGAAAGTAATATCGCAATTGTTGTAAGGATAAAATAGTCTAGGCTACTCCCCAAAAACTAGAACAATAATTGAATGGTTATGCCGAAGACATTCAACGGCCATAACCATCCAAGTTGAATGGTTATGCCGAAGACATTCAACAGCATAACCATCCAAGTTGAAGGGTTATGCCGAAGACAGTCAAGTTGAATGCTTATGCCACCTGCGTTTATTATGACTTGTCCTAGAAATTTTCGTTCACAAACAAATAATTAACATGCTATTTTTTATTTTAAGACCCAATTTTATCATGCCCCATCCCAAAAACCTGTTTTGTATTCTGCGACAAGGATGAATGCGCTAAGAGAGGTCAGATTTGCTGTTGCAGAGGATGTGGGAACGTTTGTACAACGCCAATCAAACGATCTGGTATGTTCGGGCTTTATATTCATTTTGTGCATTTTCCACAAAATAAAGTTGAGTGTTTATATATATAAAGTACTCCTGCTTGTGTTTCAAATACTACGTCAACAATTACACCCTACCCCCGTATTAATCAAATCAGTCCTAGGACTTGATCAAACTTTGTGTTAATTTTATGTTATGCCACTGTTCAGAAAAAATAACCATGAGTTTTGTTTTCCATTCAGGCCGTGATGTGTGTCCACCAGACGCGAATTCATGTCTACTTGACAACGACTGTCAAAGCGGAAAGAAGTGCTGTTTGGATGGTTGCACGAAGCGATGTGTCACTCCTGTGCCCAGCGTGGACTCTGAGATGAAAAAAATGAAAAGCTTAAATTAATGTAATGCTGATTGCAGTAAATAGAAGATCGTTCAAATATGAACAATTCAAAGTAGGAATGCTTATAGCAATGGGAACTACATAATAGTTAGATTTTTTTCTCCTAAAAGAAGAAATAAAATCTGGATTAATTAATTAATAAATGTTGTTTTTAATTCTTTGAATTTTTGCGCAAGTGGAAAAGTTCGCGGGGGGCTTGGAACAAGTTACATAATGTTTGTTGTTATATGAAGTATCTCGTATGCAACTGTTTTATCCAACATGGAAGCTTTCCAAGGCGCGAAATTTCCATCATTACCGAATTGTGGATAAAATAAATTGTTTTTTACAATAAAAACCAAGGTATTTTGCTTGTTAATTATCGACTATATTATTCACTTTGATATAAACAGCGTAACATAATGTGAAGTACTGAATAACATTGGTTAAATTTTTGTTTTACAATATAAATTGAAAACTGAAATTCAAGGGTAAAACACCGTTTATTTAGATAAAGCGACTTCAAAAAGTAATACATAAACCTAGACAGTACTATGTGATGTCGAAAGTATCGAGCAGTCGTAGGGAAAGTGGAGAGAACACAAGCACTCCAGTAGTAAAGAAGAGGTCAAATATCAAGCCGACAGCGACAGCTTATTTACAAGTTTTTGGCAGTGGTGGTGGTGACACTAGCCCATCGGTGTTTTTATTTGCTGATTCACAAAGGTATGTGTCTTTTAAATGAGGCGAAGCTACCCGGGTATCAGAATACTAAGTTGGCTATGCACACAGGGTTATCTGCAGCGAATCTGCACATAATTCTGACTTTCCGAGATTTTGAAAATTTAACAGTAAATACATAGAAAGCATCAAAATTATGTGGCTGATAGGCACATACAAGACTACAAAACTACTGTGTCACCCGACCCCTCAAACGTGTCCATGGCAATGACGTCAAAATTTGCCTTTGAGTGACAAAACTTTATTCAATTGACGATTCCCCTTATTACGTTTTCGTAGCGCTTTGCATTGTGGTTATAGTGTATTACTGATAAAGATGGCGGCCCGAATGAAAATATTGAATGTTTTCGCGAATATTTTGCTGTTAGCTATCGCACACCTGACCCTAGCTTTTTTAAAAGTTCTTGCACGGGCAGGAAAAAATAAGCCATGTTTCCTTGAATATTAGTGATACCACTAATAACCACAATGCAAAGCACTACGAAAACGTAATAAGGTGAATCATCAATGGACCATTTGCATTATACACTAAATTTTGATCTAAACAAGTCTAGACAAAAGTTTCATCACAGCTTGAAAGAGCATCACAAAATTAGTAATATTCCAAAGTTACGTTGCGAAATGTTGTAAAATTTGGATAATATAGCCTTGCGAAATTTGCAATTTTCAGTCGTTTTATATTACAAACGGGAAATTGATGCCCCAACACCCGATTGGGCTGTCAATTTCCTGGGCGTAATACAAAATGACTGAAAAACGGCAAACTTTGCGGGGCTATATTATCCACATTTTACAACATTTTGCAACGAAACTTTGGAATATTACTAATTTTGTGATGCTCTTTCAAGCTGTGATAAAATTTTTGTCTAGATCAAAATTTAGTCTATATTGCAAATGGTCCATTCTATGGTATTTTTCATGCAATATTTCGTATTGTGGTAAAAATTTATTTTGCAGCATTTAGAGACTTCACAAGGCCTATAAAAAGAAATACCTGCGGTTCCAGTTTCCTGACTGACCCTAATTTTTTTCTCCCTATTATTTTTTTGACACGATTGACCGTGCATCCCTATTTTCTTCAGGTACAGTAGTTGTGGGCTGCTTATTCAGCATGCCAAAATGACGTCTGTTGTCATACTAATTATTGAACCAAATTGCCTAAATTCGTCCATAGGAAATATGAGTCTCTAGTTAAATTCGGGACTCTACTGAATGTTGCCCAGCAAAAAACCATGAAAACATTATACAAAAAAAAATTATTTCTGACCAACCTACCCTAAATTTTTCATGATAAGAAACCGGAACAACAGGTATTTTTTTAGGCCTACATGTGTATATACCACAGAATACAGCAAAAATTTACATGTTCCATATCTTTTGTCGAATGTATATAATATGGTTCCTTAATATTTTTTAGCATAGTCTATCGATATATTTTTTCTTCCTGGGGGTTTTGGGACAAGATTTCATAGACTTAATTATTTTTTTTTAAATGAATATTCTGTGGAAAAAAATCCAATGTACCACAGAATACCAGTGCAGAGGTAAGTAAGCAACGGTTTATCAAATTGTACCAGGATTTGGTGTGTCATGTTGTATGATAATACTGTGGGATATTGCTAACTTAATTTAGTGAAAGTTAAACACTAAGATCAGTACAGAATACCAGTGGTATAACCAAAGAATACCAGGTTTATCAATAATTTTGAAAAATTCAGTTTTTCAATGGTAAAATTGATTACACTGTGTGATTCCAGTGTAGTAATGTTGCATTGCATAGAAAAAGTATTGATCAACATAAATTATGCTGGTTTGCGAACTTATTTTTAAACATTCGGATTTTATAGGCATTATGCGAAAAAAAAGGAACAAAAATATAGAATGTTACTTTTTGTTAATCCTTATTATTTTTAAGAATTTTTAAGAAAATATACATTTTTTGTTTTTATATGTCAATTAAGACTAAACTAATATATAATCACGAAAATAAAGTTTATAGCATATTTCCTTCAAATTTTATATAAGAAATAAATAAGACTGGTATTCTGTGGTACCGTGGTATTCTGTGGTACATACAC